AAGCCCGTCGGCAGTGCGGGGCCCCGGTGTTCGAACACCGGGACCCTGCACTGCCCCATATTGCAGGACCGGACCGCACTGAGACTGTGCGCGCCCGGTACCATTTGATCCGCGGACCGGGGGGTTGGGGAACACAGACATGCCTGTCCCTGAAGGAAACGTGTAGGTCAAAGTCAAATGACACAGTGGGTCCAACTTGTGAAACTGAGTGAATTCTTCCAAAAGGATTATAGCACTTTGGAACTAAAAGTACAATTAAAGCCTTGAATAAACCTGTGCATCTTACTGCAATACACATACCGTGGTTCCTTGCAGTGCCATTCATTAGAATAAATCGGTGGAGCTGGCACATCTGCTTTGGTTTGCTAAGTTGGCAAAAATAGTGCAGGCTTTTAGATTCATCATGGTGTCTTGGCTTCCCATTCCAATGAATGGGCTGCCTTTACGCAGTGCACATTACTGCACCACAACAAACCATAGATGTTATAAAACCTTTCAATAGTCTGCTACTTGGACATGTATTACACGCATGTCAAAACAAAATAATAAAAAAATAAATAAAACATTTCTACAATACATCTACATTTGCCTGTGTTTTATCCCTTCTAATCTTGATCTGCTAGAAATGAACTCGGTTCATTTCTAGCAGATCTCCCCAAAACGTGGGGGGAAGTTTCTCCGCGATCGCAGTGCATTCCAGCAGCTACCGCTCTGGAACGCACACTTTCGGTGTGAACAAGGCCTGATTAGGCTAATAAAGTGTATTAAATCCCCGCAAGCCTCCTTGCCCTGCACTGAAATAGCTTACTCTGATTTCACTATACACTGTAAGCAGTACCTATCCAAATCTGTTATCACATTTTGATATTGTTTAGCATTCTTTCACCAATCCTTTTTTTTTCCTACTCTGAATAAAATAATGGGGAAATGTGCCTATCAGGACTACTGTTGATATTTTAACCTTTATTTAGTTTTGGTGATGCGCTTCTAATTGATTCATTCTAAATAATTACAATAAATTAATACTACATTTTGTATAATGGATTTCTTATTTTTCTTTTTTCTCTTTTGATGAACATTTTTTATATGTCTGAAGACTTAGAATGGTTTTAAGTGACCAGTTTACAGTTCACTGTGGTCACACAATGCTGTAGAAGAAAAATCAAGTATATTTAAGTGGTTGCTGTTTTGACCACTCGGCTTACCTCCTTTTGTATTGGTTACTTTACAAATGTCAAATGGCTTGGCCTATCACAGAAGACAAACGTTCAGTTTCTAGGAAAGCAAAATAAAAACAAAACCTTTTGTAAACGGCGAACCTTCTGCTTTGGAATGCGTGCACACAGCTTTGCTGAAAACTACTAAATCTGAATTTAGGAACGATCGCATATCTTATGTGTTAGCTATGTATGGTTTTAAAATTATATGCATGGCCATTTTTCTCTTTTGCGAAGTTCTTTCAAGATGTCCGCCATGTCTCCTCGAAGGGGCAAGAGCAAGAAGACAGTTGTGAACCAGATAAAGAGTGATGATCCCATGGATATAGACCGAAGGATTTTTGTCGGCAATTTACCAACAAGCCAGATGAGCCGTCACGATTTGGAAAGCCTATTTTCCAAATATGGAGAGATCACTGGTTAGTAATGGTTTGTCCTTTTTTAAAATTTAATTCGAAGCTGAGCTCTAGTTTTCTTTGTTTTACTTTTAAACCTGCGTAGATTAGCATACTAATTCATTTGGAATTGGAGGCTTTTCATTGGGACAAACAAGGAAATAATTCATTCTTCAAAATGACTCCAGTCAATAATATTATGCATTAAGATTGACTAAAATATACTAAACATGTTATGCATCGGGTACAAGGGCAAGTTTTGCCCTCCATTTTGTCCTTGGAATTGGACTAAAACACTGGCAATTTATCATGAAAACATAAAATTCTCCAATCCAGACAGAGGAAGCTGCCAATAACTACATGCACACACTACTACTACTCTGCCACCACTCACAATTTTCAGGCTTGTTCTGACACCCCTAGATGGTACACTCTGAGCAGGCTGGCACACAGGCTTTCACAGCCCACACACTCTGCTCTCGGCTAAACTAGGCAGTATTATTTAATGCAAACACCCACTCACGGTGTCTTCAGAATTTTGCTGTCTTTAGAGCAACCAAAAACAAGTTTTATATGTATTATTCCTAAGCAGGTAGTGCACAGAAATGAACAAAAAAAAACCTAAATTAAAAATGTAAGATGCACATAAGCAAACGGGATTGAAAATAAAAGGCATGACTGGGGCTGGAGGATGCATACGCAGAACATATCAGTTAACATAGATGGAACCCCTAACATATGGCTGAGATCTGACTGCGGCGCATAAAGGGTAATTCCATTTTCCCCCTCTCACTGCTCTTACCTTTTGAGCGAACGCTGCTTCCCTCCCCCCCCTTCTCCTCCTCCATATGTCCTAGTGTACTGCCCACACATTGTAGAGCAATGTAGATATTTAAAATTATGCTGCAAATGGTGAACGCTCATTGGTCAGTGCGGTCACTTAACCACGCTGACCAATGAGAAGTGCTTCTTGCTAGAAAGCACTTCTCATTGGTAAACAGCTTAATTCAAAAGTAAGAACAGCAGGAGGGGGAAGGGAGAAGATTGGCGGGTGTAATTCCATTTCCCCAAATTAACCTGGCATTAACTATTATTGGGATTTTGTATAGCGCCACATTCACATCAGTCCCTCCCTCAAGGAGCTTAACCTTCAACTTTATTTGGATATTGCAGTATGGTTACCACCCTTCCAACCTGTCAAGTTGGATGAAAGGGGCTGGTTAATTAGCACAGAAAGGATTCTGGTAATCACAATCTTCAAACACTCATAACTGTGTCAAGTTATAAATCTGAAAGTATGAGTAATGGTTTCAGCTGTTCCTTGCATAAAGACCAAACATGCTTTACGCCTAACAAAACCAGTACGAACCGAAATAGACCCAAATTATCAATGCCCCCATTTTTTTTAAATTTGGAATTTAACATGTTGTATCTACACAGCCAGACGCTTGCATAACGCTTGATGATACGGGAGTTTAGCGTATTTAAACTTTTCAGAACTTTGAAGAAATAAAATGCACAAATGTGTCTCAGACTAGCTGGAACATTACCACTAGATTGTGCTAATTGGGATGAAGACACACAGGACATTGATGTCCTGTGAGAAAACACACATGGTCTAATCAGCCCGTTGCTGTGAATGTATACATTAAACATTTGGTCTTCCTTCGGCACTGTATTGTTAAAATGTTATGCATATTCCGAATTAACACTGCTCTGACTGGATCATGACACCTTTTGCTGTGATTTTTTTAAAAAATGTTTTATGTAAATAAGCTCTGAACTTACTCGGTCTTGGCTTGATCATGACAAATTAATGCAGAACATCGAGTGCATTCTGTTATATTAAACACTTTGTTTCCATGTAAAATTAGAGATGTATTGTCCCAATTTTCCTTGGTGTACATATTTTTGCATCTTCTCAAGCCAGAAAATGGTGCTGAATTCCGGCTGTAACATTTGTTGATTTTCCAGCCGTCTCTATGTTACGTGGCTATGGATTCGTGCAGTATGAACGCAAAGAAGATGCGGATGCTGCTGCCAAGGGTGAGAGTGGTCGGATTTATAAAGGGTATAGATTAGGTAAGGCAAAACTGTGAAGCTGATTAAAAAATATTTGCTTTTAAGGTGCTGCTTTTATCTTTATTTTTTGCCATCTGTTTGTTCTATATCACTGCTTTCTTAAAGAGGATTCCAACTGTAAATGAAAATGGCCAGTCTGCCTCACATATAAAGGACTGGCCTTTCACTACCCTCTCACAAAATATTGGTAACTTAGTCCAAATTTGTAAATCCACCAGGCCATAGAGGTCTGTTGTATGTGCATGGCAATGGATCACTGCAGGTGTAATCTGTAATTCCAGTTCTCTTGTAGCTACAGGATGGGCAGGACCTTTCTGTGATAGTTTACAGGGACATATCGTCAATCAAATTGGGAAGTTCCATATCATCCATCTGTAAATCCTCTTCACGTTTTGATACTGTAATGACTAATAGTCAAGTTTATTGTTATCGGTACATATAAGTTGGAGGTGGTCATTCTTTAGGGAATGGTGCAAATGCACATGGTACAGCATGTATTAAAGGCTCTATGCAAACCACCAAATTGAGTAATGAAATAACTATTCAGCAATAAATATGGTTAAAAAAGAGTATTCACTTGTGTCATCTGTTTTTGGATGCATTGTTTGCAACAATGCAAGGGCAAAAACTTCTCAAACGGATATAAGAAAATGCTTTCGATGATGTACTTAACAGACTTAAAGCAAATCAGATGTTCATTGTTGGGGTTTACATTCACTTAAGATTTTCAGCCTATACAATAGAACAAGTCCCATCTTAGACCGTGGTGTTGTGTTTTTTGTTGTTTTGTTTTCTTAACCCCCATACTTTTGGTAGGAATATAACCAGTAGCACACATGGAAACATTTGCAAATCATTATCTTGGTTGTAGTTCTTTCAGATATGGCAGAATAAATGCAAATAATGTAACTAAACACGGATTCATTATCCGTGTCGTATAAATATTTGGATCTGGAATTTTGCTCGGTTTAGACACTTTTTTTTTTGTTGGGCGTCGATGGTAACATCATGGCAGCTTACTATTGGAATAAAAAATGACTACATGCTCAATTTAAGTCAAATAAGGAGCATTTTTTACCGCCAATACACCACAGAGGAAATTAATGTTTTATGACCCTTTAATCATTTCTGTTTTTTGAGCCAGCCTGAAAAAATATGATCAAACGCGACCCAGAAAAGCACACACGGATTGGTCATTCCATCAGATTGATGTGGAATATCGAATGATCAGATAACATGAGCTTTTAAAACTACGATACTTGAAGTTAGATCTTGCAATGAGTTTGGCAGTTCCATTTGTTGTGTGATCAGAATATGCTGTTGTGCAAACTCCTCAAGGGACCCAAGACTACTGGAGACTGCGCACTTCTACAACCATAGGACCAAAAGTATTAAAGAAACTTTACCTTACCATTTTTTTGTTTTGGTTTGGAGCATTACAACAGCTATGACGAATATTTGAGAAAATGATCAACCCGAGTAAATTACTACATAGCATACGCGTTTGTCATTGTATTATAATTTCTAAACTTTTTTTGTGTGGGGGTGGGGCTTTAAACTGATCATGCTGAATTTATACCAGTCCTCTTACTGCTTCTAAGATGCCTAGAGTTTTATTGCTACATTTCAATAATTCAGGAGGTTCTTAATTCGTAGAAACATGCACATGTAATTTACTTTTCCTTGCAGGTGTGTAGCAATTTTACAGGCTTACATGTAGCGACCTAAAATATTCCTTTTCAGTTATTCTTGCTAGTTTAGAAATGGACCGTAGACCTAAATTTACATAGTTATTGAGAAAACTTTAATACAAATCTGATTTAAGAATTTTTGGAACTTACCATATTCAAGAGTTCTACTTGTAACAGTATGCAAAAATTGCCATGTAACCTCACCTTTTTTGTTCTATGCGTGCAAAAGATTTTTTTAAATACACAATCGTTCATTATTGAGGTGTGCACAGACTGATAAGCTAGCATTGAGCTTTCCACTTTTTTTATTTTTTTTATTTATAATGTAAAATAGTCTTCACCCCATTCTTCATTCATGCCCAGAACATAAGCCTGGTGATTTTCATCTGAAGCCTTTATCACTGGAGAACCTTTAAGATAAATACAGCAGTGTACCTTTGCTGGCTTTCATTCTGCTGTAAATATTAATGTAGGAAAATTAATCTATACCTCCCCAGGTTTTAGTAGTTTTGAAACCTTTTGGTCTTTTAATTGTTCTCATGGAACATGAAGGGACGCATCTCCCATTGACACGGAAATTAATCCTTACTGGTTGTTACCCCTTCACCACTATGCCAAGAGTGGCCAAAGCTTCACTTTACAGGGTCAATCCACCTTTCTATAAAAAAGGAAAAGGTGAACTAGGTCACAATACTGCCCTGGAAGAATATTCAGAAATTCTCATTGGTCATTGTGGTCATGTGCATTGTGTTGTTGTTCACATAATCATGGTTGCGTGATACTCAAGCACAGACTCTCCCAGCTGCCTGTACTTATCAGTAAATAAGTGAGGTTGACAGGTACCCTAAATATATAATTTTAGTACTTTTTTTAACATATATATATATATATTACGGTTTCTTTAATTTGACCAAAATATGTAAGTTCACTGCCTGTGCCACCGGCTTCTGCATGTCCAGTAGAGGCACAGCACAAGTATCTGTCACTGTATGGGTTACCTGGGCTTAGGTTTCTACCATACCCTGCAAAGCTTTTGTTTGCTACAGCAAAAAAAAAAAAGTTATTCCATTTAATTATGCACCAATACAGCCTCTTGGTGTCTCCTCTACTATTCTCCCAGCCTTGCCTGCTTAATGGATCTCAAACCTGTCCCCACAAACATCATTAATAGGTATTGGGCCAAACTATGTGAGCTTGGCCCCCTCGCCAAGGGTGTATGTGCTTTCAGTGATTGACACTGAAGTTTTAGTAGTGTGGCTCCTGTAAGGTTTATGTTTGCTTTTTATCCCTGCTTGTGTGCAGTATCGTATGTTTATGCTCATTTGCATGTTTATTTTAAGCCACCGATACAAACTTGGTAGTAAACTAAATTTGGCCATACATGGATCGAATTTTCCCATTTAATACTGAATCGGCCAAAAATTGTTCTGCGAATGACCTTGCTTTCACCACCCGGCTTGACAGGTGGTTTTTCTCCAATCAATTTTTGTCGAAGGAGCTGGGTGGAAAATTGTCGGTCGATCAGTGACTGCAGCCAGTTAGGAGTTGCTGTTCAGGTATTCTGAAAAGCCACAGGTGCTGGTTGTCAGAATACAGTAGCAGATGGGGGATCAAAAGATTTCTCTTGTTAAGCTCACAGGGCTGAATGAGAAATATCCTTGGAAAATGTTTAGTGTATCCTGCTTCTTGGTAAAAATAAAATAGAGCTGCCATGCAAGCAAAAAGGGGTCAAATGGTAAAGGTAATATCATTTGGACAATCAGACTTGTTGATCATGAACACTTTCGCAATATGCTTCACATACACTTAAAATACTTGGTCTCCTGTGGATTTTTACAGAGATCTGACTTGACTCTAAACATCACTGCAATGTGCTGCTGGTTGACCTTTTTTACCGACCATTCGACTTGGGTCACATGCAGCATGAACGTCTTAACTGTTAATCCTGGAAACCATTGGACAGAGCAGTCCTTCCCTCAAGATCAAAACGCTATCATAATATCGTTTGCATTTAAGCGCTTTTATTTTTGTGTTGACAAAGGCCTAAAATTGGGAAAATATATAAGGAACAGATACCCAAGACTATAAAGTGGAACACAAACTGCGATGCGGTTCACCATGCTTGTCCTTTTGGAAACTGTTATTTCATGTTATGGAACCCCTTCCTCAGTCTGGATGCCTTAACTATTTATTGCTCCTTGTGAGTTTTCTTAAATGTGTAATAAGTATATGCTGAGTTGATCTTCATGGCAACTTACAACGGTGGTGGTAAAGTATTTTCAGATGACCTATTGTGATTTCTTGACTTTTTATACTGTAGGGCAGGGCACTTCATACTGACTGAAAATAAACATTCTCCTTTTGAATCAGTTGCCTTAGTATCTGTTTTTATTTGTTTGATAAATGTTTTCTCCTGTTGCACACTATTGAACAGATGGGTTAATTGTCCTTTTCAGATATTAACAAAGCAGTGGAAAGAAGAAATATGAATAAGGGTCCGTCCAGGTCCAGCCCGTCACGAAGGTAAAGTACTTGCGAGACTGTCGTGGACTGGTCTTGATAGGGGTCCCAGAAGGAACTCCTGCAATAACTTTACATTGTTGAATATCCCATAACTGGATATCGCTCCATAAAATGCTCTCGCCTTATTTTTGGATTCGTTAATTACGAAATAATCTGAATAAACACTTGCTGCCTTGGATGTGTGTATGCGTTCTGCTTTTTGTTCCACATATGCAGACTACTAAAAGGAAAGTCAAATTCTGCTAAATTTTAAAGATTTAGATTTGTCTTTTAAAAATACCACACTCCTAATAAAATGCGTGCATAGTAGAATTTTCTTCTTGGTTGCCTTCTCTGCGCATCAAATTGCGTCGGCTCCAAAATGGTTATTTCTCATCGCGACTACCACTTATCTATAAATTTACTCTTAAAATGGCACCTTGGTTCACATCTACATCTTGTGCTAGACCCAGCCTGTCCCTGACGCTTTCTTGACGCTGTAGCCTCTAAAGTACTATTTCATTTAACACACAGGCTCCTGTTAACCGATATTCCACAAATGTGCCATGCAATGCAAAACCAAATGCCGAAGGAAAGTCTTTGACTTTGAAGATGCCATTTAAATTGCAGAAAGTGTCAAGAGTGTGATTTTATACAGAATAAAATGTTCAGCATGTGTATTTCATTCACTTCCGTGAATTCTGATTAGTTGGTTCGCAAGTCTTTGAGGTTGACTGAAATTAAGAGTTAATGTCCCCAAAATTTCATGGAAAATCAATTTTTGGAGGCAGCTAATAGGGTGAAATGAAGCGTGGTTTTCCCTTCCAACCCCCCCTTTTTTTTTTTTGTTATCCAATGGGCCTCCAATGGCTTTG